AGGGTAGCCACCAGTTACCCAGAAGTCGTGCTCATCGAGGACTGTCTAACTATTCCATGGGCCCTATCTGTCCGATCGCCCACCAGTCGACTACCAGGTACTATGCTGCTAGGAACAGACAAAGTTAAGAACGTGTCAATGTTCACCGCGGGATCGAACGCCCTCCGTTGTGAAGCGGAGCTTTAGCACGACAGCCTCTTCCCCTCCATCTTCCCTACTTCACTCCCTGAGCCATTACCTCTTTCCCCCCTGACACCACCCATGTATCTTTCTCCCTTGACGACTATTACCTCTCCCTCCCCCCCTCTCTCGTTCTCTCTCATTCTCATTCTTCAACTTTTACCTCCCTTTCCTCTCCCTCAATGTCATTTCTTCCTCGCCTCCTCCTCCTCCTCGCTTTGCCTTCGTTAGTTATTTTCTGTCCTGACTACCAAGGTCTTCCTTACTATCTGCAACGCACACACACACACACGGAGCCAGGAGCTATGACTCGACCCCTGCAGCCACAATTAGGTGAGTAATTATGTGAGTATACACACACACACACACACGCACCTCCCTCCCCAGCTCTCCGTTTAATCTGCCTCTCCTTCACAGGTAGGCCTGCAGGGTCACGCAGGCCTACGGCCGCTGACAGATGCGGTACAGAGGGTGAAGTGGGCGGGATCCTCGTCAGTAGTGGAGCGTGTGGGCGTGCGGGCGCTGCTTCCTGACTCTCACCATTACATTACTTATGATGGATCACTAACACAACCTCCCTGTCACGAGACTGTCACCTGGGTGATTGTTAACAAGCCTGTCTACATCACCAAGCAACAGGTGAGAGACGCAGAATGACAGACTGAGAGAAAATGAGAAAGTGAGTGATAGAGAGAGAGAGAGAGAGAGAGAGAGAGAGAGAGAACACTTAACCTAACTTTGCAAAACCCGTGTAAGAGAGAGAGAAAGTAAAAGAGAACCCTCAATCTAATCTTGTAAAACCCGTGTAAGAGGGAGCGAGAGAGCGAGAGAGAGAGAGAGAGAGAGAGAGGAGAGAGAGAGAGAGAGAGAGAGAGAGAGAGAGAGAGAGAGAGAAGAGAGAGAGAGAGAGAGAGAGAGAGAGAGAGAGAGAGAGAGAGAGAGAGAGAGAGAGAGCAATGTACCTGTTGACCCCTAATAAGCGCATGTTATACCACCGCAACTAACACAGGTGTTCCTCCCTGCGGGTGTTACAGCTGCACGGGCTGCGGCAGGTACGACAGGGGAGCGAGGTGACACCCAAGGCTCGCATGATCAACAACTACCGACCAACACAACAACTCTTCCACCGACCTCTCAGGACCAACATTGACTTCACTAACAGCAGACAGCTGCACTGTCCTTCCATGGCGCCGCAGATGTACTACACAGGTATGTACTCTATCTCACACTTTATTTTTTTACACAGAATTCTAGAATGTTGGGTTTAGGATTCCTAACTTTATTTACAAGCAAAGAGCTGTCCCGTATATCAGCTCATTTGAAAGCTTTTTTTTGAGATATACAGTGAACAGGATGAAGTTGGAGCCATCTGTCGGCCAGCGATTTCATTTGGTCAGCTGACTTTATTTTGTTGATGTTATGCTGTACGAACGTGTTCCAGACACGAGTCATTCCAGGAATAAATGATCTCAGATAAAGTGATATTCTGTAAAAGGTTACAGTCAGAGTGTAGTTGCTGCTGGCTGTCCGTCTTGTTGTGTAGAAGTTCACTTCTCGCTGTTCTCGGAGTGGAGCCAAGTGTGGTGCTTTGTCAATATTGGTCTTGTACATAGCAGTAAGGCCGCCCTCATCCCTCCAGTGTTGAAGGCTGAAATGACAGATCTCAGCAGAGCCTTCAACACTGGAGGGATGTGGGTGGCCTTACTGTTATGTACAAGGCCAATATTCTCTCTCTCTCTCTCTCTCTCTCTCCTCTCTCTCTCTCTCTCTCTCTCTCTCTCTCTCTCTCTCTCTCTCTCTCTCTCATTCTCTCTAGTCTTTCTATATATCTCTGTCTCTGTTTGTCTCTCTTTTTTGTATCTCTCTGTACCTCTCTCTTTATTTCTCTCTATGTCTCCCCTTTTTTTCCTCTCTCCTTTTCTCACCCATCAGCCCCTCTCCATCCGTCGCACTCAGGACTGTGACATACTGAACGAATCAGTGTATCTGATCGTCAAGGTGCTTAACAAGTACCTGATTAACGCACCTGTTGAAGTCTTGGTTGATGTCTCCACTGATGTTGTGGGGCTCTCGATGCAAGGAAAACGAGCAACTCTATGGGTCTCTCTACGGGTTTGGAGCTCCTTAGTTATAACAGAACAGGGACATTCTCATTAGATAAATGAAGCGTTAAACCCGCGAGGATCATTGAGCTGAGGAAGATATTGTGGGTCCAGCCAGTCTGCCGCTATCATGACGACCTCTGATCTCACGACCAGTAATAAGAGTAGCAATAATAATTATAATAATAATTAGTGAATAATAATAATGAATGAGTAATAGTTATAATAATTAATAATAATAATAATAAAAATGATTAGTATAATAATATTTCGTTGTTGCTAGGTATTAACTTACCGTTGTTGCTAGGTATTAACTTATCGTTGTTGCTAGGTATTAACTTACCGTTGTTGCTAGGTATTAACTTACCGTTGTTGCTAGGTATTAACTTACCGTTGTTGCTAGGTATTAACTTATCGTTGTTGCTAGGTATTAACTTATCGTTGTTGCTAGGTATTAACTTATCGTTGTTGCTAGGTATTAACTTACCGTTGTTGCTAGGTATTAACTTACCGTTGTTGCTAGGTATTAATTTATCGTTGTTGCTAGGTATTAACTTACCGTTGTTGCTAGGTATTAACTTATCGTTGTTGCTAGGTATTAACTTATCGTTGTTGCTAGGTATTAACTTACCGTTTTGCTAGGTATTAACTTACCGTTGTTGCTAGGTATAACTTATCGTTGTTGCTAGGTATTAACTTTACCGTTGTTGCTAGTATTAACTTACCGTTGTTGCTAGGTATTACTTACCGTTGTTGCTAGGTATTAACTTACCGTTGTTGCTAGGTATTAACTTACCGTTGTTGCTAGGTATTAACTTACCGTTGTTGCTAGGTATTAACTTATCGTTGTTGCTAGGTATTAACTTATCGTTGTTGCTAGGTATTAACTTACCGTTGTGCTAGGTATTAACTTACCGTTGTTGCTAGGTATTAACTTATCGTTGTTGCTAGGTATTAACTTACCGTTGTTGCTAGGTATTAACTTATCGTTGTTGCTAGGTATTAACTTACCGTTGTTGCTAGGTATTAACTTATCGTTGTTGCTAGGTATTAACTTACCGTTGTTGCTAGGTATTAACTTACCGTTGTTGCTAGGTATTAACTTACCGTTGTTTGCTAGGTATTAACTTACCGTTGTTGCTAGGTATTAACTTACCGTTGTTGCTAGGTATTAACTTACCGTTGTTGCTAGGTATTAACTTACCGTTGTTGCTAGGTATTAACTTACCGTTGTTGCTAGGTATTAACTTATCGTTGTTGCTAGGTATTAACTTATCGTTGTTGCTAGGTATTAACTTACCGTTGTTGCTAGGTATTAACTTACCGTTGTTGCTAGGTATTAACTTATCGTTGTTGCTAGGTATTAACTTACCGTTGTTGCTAGGTAATTAACTTATCGTTGTTTGCTAGGTATTAACTTACCGTTGTTGCTAGGTATTAACTTATCGTTGTTGCTAGGTATTAACTTACCGTTGTTGCTAGGTATTAACTTATCGTTGTTGCTAGGTATTAACTTACCGTTGTTGCTAGGTATTAACTTATCGTTGTTGCTAGGTATTAAACTTACCGTTGTTGCTAGGTATTAACTATCGTTGTTGCTAGGTATTAACTTACCGTTGTTGCTAGGTATTAACTTACCGTTGTTGCTAGGTATTAACTTACCGTTGTTGCTAGGTATTAACTTACCGTTGTTGCTAGGTATTAACTTATCGTTGTTGCTAGGTATTAATCTTATCGTGTTGCTAGGTATTAACTTACCGTTGTTGCTAGGTATTAACTTATCGTTGTTGCTAGGTATTAACTTATCGTTGTTGCTAGGTATTAACTTACCGTTGTTGCTAGGTATTAACTTATCGTTGTTGCTAGGTATTAACATTTCTCGTGTAGACAAATGGTTCAACATTTCTCAAAAATTAATATATTAGTTCAGATTTATGCCTTTACGTAGAAATACAAATTAAGAATCAGTCATTTTCTTTTTCCCATTACTAACGTTATGTTTCTTACGATGACAGCGAACACGTGGAGGTAGTGACACCTGTGATCATCATCTGGCAACACTTGGCGTCTCCTGGTAACCATGGTGATGGGCTGGGCTTCTGGCACCTGATTGGCTATTAATGGAGACACACACAGTGACGTCACGGATTTCTAAACCAATCCGCACCCTTCGGCTGTAATGTAAATACTGGGAGTCGTTACTGTGACATGAACGCAATAATTAAACGTTTTTGAGAGATATTACAAGATGTGAATGTTGTAAATGATAGGGAACCCCAGAAAACACATTCGTGGTGTGAGGCGAGTGCTTTTAGGGCAATTTAAACAGCTGTAAATAATTGTTTAGCTTGTTTGGTCGAGTGACAGACGCTTGGACCACGTGACACACACACACACACACACACACACACACACACACACACACACACACACTTGTGAAAGTGACTTTGGGAACCGCAAGAATATGACCGCTTCTCGTTTTCAACAGTTCTCAAACAGATACAAGTTAATGCCATCATCAGTTACTACTACCACTAACAACTACCACCATTATCAACGAATATCACCATTGCCATCATTACCAATAGCAACTATCACCACAACTAGCATCACCACAACCAGCATCATCACAACCAGCATCACCACAACTAGCATCACCACAACCAGCATCACCACAACCAGCATCACCACAACCAGCATCACCACAACTAGCATCACCACAACCAGCATCACCACAACTAGCATCACCACAACCAGCCTCACCACAACCAGCATCACCACAACTAGCATCACCACAACTAGCATCACCACAACTAGCATCACCACAACTAGCATCACCACAACCAGACATCATCACAACCAGCATCACCACAACTAGCATCACCACAACCAGCATCAACACAACCAGCATCACCACAACCAGCATCACCACAACCAGCATCACCACAACTAGCATCACCACAACCAGCATCACCACAACCAGCATCACCACAACCAGCATCACCACAACTAGCATCACCACAACCAGCATCACCACAACTAGCATCACCACAACCAGCATCACCACAAACCAGCATCACCACAACAGCATCACCACAACCAGCATCACCACAACCCAGCATCACCACAACTAGCATCACCACAACCAGCATCACCACAACTAGCATCACCACAACCAGCATCACCACAACCAGCATCACCACAACCAGCATCACCACAACCAGCATCACCACAACTAGCATCACCACAACCAGTATCACCACAACTACATCATCACCAACCAGCATCACCACAACCAGCATCAACACAACTAGCATCACCACAACCAGCATCACCACAACTAGCATCACCACAACCAGCATCACCACAACCAGCATCACCACAACCAGCATCACCACAACCAGCATCACCACAACTAGCATCACCACAACCAGCATCACCACAACCAGCATCACCACAACCAGCATCACCACAACCAGCATCACCACAACCAGCATTACGACAACTAGCATCACCACAACCAGCATCACGACAACTAGCATCACCACAACTAGCATCACCACAACCAGCATCACGACACTAGCATCACCACAACTAGCATCACCACAACCAGCATCACCACAACCAGCATCACCACAACCAGCATCACCACAACTAGCATCACCACAACCAGCATCACCACAACCAGCATCACCACAACCAGCATCACCACAACCAGCATCACCCACAACCAGCATCACCACAACCAGCATCACAACTAGCATCACCACAACCAGCATCACCACAACCAGCATCATCACAACTAGCATCACCACAACCAGCATCACCACAACCAGCATCATCACAACCAGCATCACCACAACCAGCATCACCACAACTAGCATCACCACAACCAGCATCACCACAACCAGCATCACCACAACCAGCATCACCACAACCAGCATCAACACAACCAGCATCACCACAACCAGCAACACCACAACCAGCATCAACACAACCAGCATCACCACAACCAGCATCACCACAACTAGCATCACCACAACCAGCATCACCACAACCAGCATCACCACAACCAGCATCACCACAACCAGCATCAACACAACCAGCATCACCACAACCAGCATCACCACAACCAGCATCACCACAACCAGCATCACCACAACCAGCATCACCACAACTAGCATCACCACAACCAGCATCACCACAACCAGCATCACCACAACCAGCATCACCACAACTAGCATCACCACAACCAGCATCACCACAACCAGCATCATCACAACCAGCATCACCACAACCAGCATCACCACAACCAGCATCACCACAACCAGCATCAACACAACCAGCATCACCACAACCAGCATCACCACAACCAGCATCAACACAATCAGCATCACCACAACCAGCATCACCACAACCAGCATCACCACAACCAGCATCACCACAACCAGCATCACCACAACCAGCATCACCACAACCAGCATCAACACAACCAGCATCACCACAACCAGCATCACCACCAGCAAAACCAGCATCACCACAACCAGCATCACCACAACCAGCATCACCACAACCAGCATCACCACAACCAGCATCACCACAACCAGCATCACCACAACCAGCATCACCACAACCAGCATCACCACAACCAGCATCACTAGGGCACCTTAACAAGGCGTCCACAAGCACCTTGAGAAGCGACCTGGAATGGTCGAGCACAAGCAGGCACTGAGAGAGCCAGTGGTGCGTGCCTGTAGTTGTTGCCAGGCGCAGTGCCACCACCTCTCACTCCAAAGAGAGTGCCAATGATGCCAGATCGTGAGTGTAACATAGCTTACCACACACAGGAGGAGGAAGAGGAAGAAGACGAGGAAGAGGGAAAAGAAAAAGAAGACTCTACCGGTGTAAATACAACCAATTTGTTTACACTCTTGATTCTACTGGTGTAAATACAACTGATTTACACTGTTGATTTTACTGGTGTAAATACAAGCTTGTTTTCACTGTTAATTCTACTGGTGTAAATACAGCTAACTGGTTTACACTATTGATTGTGCTGGTGTTAACCAGAGCATGGGTATCAGCCCAAGGAAACTGTTTACCTTCGTGACGTCACCAGAGTAAACACACTGTCTATGAATTAGAGGCTCCCTCCACCCCTCCCACTACAACCCTCCACCCCTCCCACTACAACCCTCCACCCCTCCCACTACAACCCTTCGCCCCTCCAACTACTACCATTCACCACACCACTACCACCATCCACTCCCACAACTGCTACCTCGACCACCCACACCACCACAAGAATCAGTCCGCTTGTCCCTGTTTCAGAGGACTGAAGCATCAACAAGTCAAATACAAACTGAAAATCTTTAAAACTCAACACTACTGAATGACGCTGATAGAAGTGTTTCTTAGTGCTAAGGATGGCGCTAAATAATATGTTTCTCAGTGCTGAGGATAGCGCTAAATGTGTTTCTCAGAGCTGAAGATGAAATAAATTGATCTGAACCACCAAAACTTAAACCCATCACATCCTGAGTTGCGCAATTAACAGTCAACAATAAAATCAGGGCTTTTTTAAAAAAAAAAAGCCTTACTTCAGATAGATGCCCATTGGTAAAGTCTATCGTTGCCTTACAGTCAATATGCAATACATGTATTTCCCAATTTCCGCATAAAATGAAGTTGAAAGCTGCGTAAACATGATGTCGGCAGCCACTGACTTGTTCTGAGTGCTGTCAGCTGGTGGAAGTTCCCGGGAAAAACACGTAAGCAATGATCACTCCCAGCTGACGGATTTCGCGCCATTATTTGTAAATACTGTAGTGCCGTTGCAGCCGGAAGAAACAGTGCAACTGTGATGCCGTTGTCTGTTAACTGTTGGGTTAAAAATGTCTATAAATAGTGGCAGATGGGGTGTTCTAGCTCTCTGTTGTAAAAACGATTGCTTGGGAGAACCGTTCTTCTCCTGTTAACAAGAGAAACGGTGAGAATTTTATGTGCACTCCTGTTGGTAATGGGAATATAGGGATGACGGGAACAGGTGAGTCAGTTCCTGACACTGAAATGTTATAACAGCGGTAGACACACACACACACACACACACACACACACACACACACACACACACACACACACACACACACATACACACGAGGGTAAAGCCTACGAAGAGGAACTAGATAAAACACAAGAGCATCTTAAGCCAGAAAAAAATACCTCTTGGTTTTAAAAACCAGGAAAAAAAAACGATGGTGATGATAGAGATGATACTGTTTATAGGATGATGTTTGTAATTGTGGTAGTTATGATGGTTGATGGTGATAATGCTGAAGATGATAGTGTTGGTAACTATGGTGATAGTGACTACTGTTACCTATATAGTGATGGTGATGATGAATAAAGAAGGTGATGACAGTGATAGCATTTATAGTGATGGTGATTGAGTTGATAATGGCGGTAACGATAGTGACGTTGACACTGTTAACAGTGATAGTGACGATGGTGAAAGTGATGGTAACAGCGACAACAAAGATGATGGTGACAACCATGCCAGTACTAACGAAAAAAAATATAGTAACGAGAGATAAATGATAGTTGCTAATGATACCGCTTGTGTAAATGAGAATAATTAGTGCCAAACAAGGTCAGAATAATGGCTAGGGCGTGACCTGACCTGGCTTTCTGACCTAACTTGCCGGACCTGGACTTCTGTACTCCCCTGAGGACACAACACGCACAGGTCACGCTCCAACAGCCAATTAATCACAGCAGTTTATATGACGCTTGTGATCTGACAATAAAAACAAATCTATATCGTTGCTTTACTATACACCCCCATTCCCATCCTGTGGCCAGTAGTCACCCCATACCCTTCCTGTGGGATGTAGTCACCCCATACCCATTCTGTGTTTGGTAGTCACCCAATACCCTTCCCGTGTGCGGTAGTTAAAAAGACAAACAACATAAAAGATCCAGGAGCTGTGTCCCAACATTGTGTTGACAAGGCAAGTTACTCTGGTAATGAGATCATTAAGGGTGCATAACTGCCTCTCATTACTTTCATACTTATGGACGGATTATTTCCACATTTGTCGAATTATCTTTAAAGAATTATCTCAACATTCATGGAATATGTCACATGTAATAAAGATAATTATCTTTATAAATGTTTATATTTGCTCAAGCTTGTGTTAGTGGCAGATGGTTGGCTGGTTAATGGGGTTTAAAGCCTGTCTACTACACTAGGGTCATCAAGAAATACAGCAGCCTGTAATATGGAAAGATAGCGACGCTAACACACCTTTTGTACTTTACGTTTCGCTCGCCAGTTCGCCAGGAGCTTTATCATTTTATCGACAGGGCTCCTGGTGAGCGAAACAGATTTTAGTGAAAGTTTCCCAACACCGCTCATGTGTGTTTTTATACATTTGTGAGTATTATGTATCTTGTGTGATAACATGTGTGATGCATATTTTGTATGATACATGCAGGAGTGTGCAGAAGACAAGCGAGGTAACACACACACAGAGCAGAGTAAACCTGGACAACGTTTCTCTCAAAGGTGGGGGTTTTTGAGGTAACGTTTAGAGAAAGTTCACTGTTGAGCAACACCTTGTGTCAAAGTGTTGCTCTACTGCATGTGTTCCTATGTTGATGAAGCAACAACACTTGTATGTGTACACACACACACACACACACACACACACACACAC